TAAGTTCTGCAGTCCGAAACCTAAATTTTCTAGATAACTCCAAATTGGGGAGGGTTAGAAGCCAAAAGGAAAGTAAGGGTTTTTTTCAGGTATTCCCAATTTCCCAACTTTGGAGGTTCCTTTCAAAAAATTCCAAAAATCAAAACTAGCCAAACTTTATATTATTTAGTAGCTCCTTTTAAGTTCTTCAGAATCCATTTTAAAAATGTCATAGACATTGAGTTTGAAAGAAGTTAGAGGGGTTTTTTTTTCAGGAAACACCATTTAGCCCAATTTTCACAAAATTTGAGGGTTCCGTCACAAGATTCCAAAAATCACAGCTAATCAATTTTTATATTGTGTTGTAGATCTCATGGAAATCTATATTTTTCAATTTAGAACTCATGGAAATATTGATTTTGAAGGAAGTTACACCTAGAAAACGGAAGGGGAAGCCCTCCAAGATAATGACCGGTTGGGTTTCACCCGTTTTGTTCCATCAGGGTTGAACTATATATCATTTTGTAGAGCTTGATGAGATCTACATTTTCCATTTTAGATAATTTGAAAATATTGAGTTGGAGAGAAGTTATGCGCCGATTAGTCTTCGGTTCCAGTTGGCTAGGCTTCCAAAAGGGCATGTGGCACACCCTTCACATTTTTAGGTGTAACTTCCTTCAAACTCAATTTTTTTGAAAATTCTAAATTGAAAAATATAGAACTTTCCAGCCGCTTTAAAATGACATAAAATTTCACCAAATGTGATGTTGGAATTTTGTGATAGGAGGCACTGAAGCAACTCCAAATGCAAGAGGGTGTCACTTGTCCTCTTGGAAGATTGAGGTGCATAACTCACCTCAATCTCAACATTTTCCAACGCTCTAAGAAGGAAAATCTGGAGCTTAGAACGCCAAAAAAAATCCCTCGATCCCATTAATAACCTTTTACATTCTCCCTCTGCCTGCTCTATTATTACCGATTACATAATTAATAGGAGCTCTTTTTATGTGTGCCTTCCTCCTAATTATTCATTCATTAT